AACATAACAAATATAATCCAGGAAAAATTAATTATAAGTGGTCAAGAATTCATGTAATCATTACAGGGAGAATTGGGCATTCGATGAGTGTAGTGGTTAACAAGCTTGTCTTGTTAAATAAGTTATGACTGAATAGTGAGTTCGATCCTCACTGGCAGTCCTAAACTTTCGGTTTCACTTAGAAAATCCCCATTACAAAGAGAATATTGCCATTAGATATATAATGATTGATAAATAGCTAGATAGATAAGAACAAACTGTGAAAGATAGTTTTACGATTGACTGTAAAATATATGATTTTACTTTAAAATTTCATTGAAAATTTAGAATATAGGAATTATCAGTGGTCAGGAATTATTAAAGGCCTTATCGATAGAATAGAACCGATATGAAAAATATATTCCCATAGTTTCAACAACTACACAGTATCATCCCATTGTGAAATTCAACCTTTTCTTCAGCAGTACACTGGATTCCTTTGACAGCATAAGCTACTACTTTCAGAAAAAAATGACACACGGCCGTCGTTTCTGATTGGAAAATGTATAACTTCGTCTCGCGGTCACCACTGAAATTCATATAATTGCTTCGCGTGTCGACAATGTGATCTGATTAGGTAATTCAAATCTCACATTGAATTAACGTTTTTTTTTTTTTTAGGAACATGGCTGCTGAGTTTAAGAACATTGAAATGTTGTAAATGCAAAAAGAAATAGATGACGAGGCTACATTTTCTTCTAGAGTTCTCACAATGGGACAGAAAACCAAAGTTTGGTGGAATCGTAAGATACCGCTTGGACGCCCAGGGATAATATTAATGATGATTCAGCTCGGAATGTATGTCTGACCACCGGGCCATCGTCTGATGTAAGCTTTGTAAGCGGCACAGCTGGTGCTTTTTTTTTCTTTTGAGGCATGTTTATGGATTTATATGATAATACAGATATGACCTGACTGCAAAAGATAGCAAAGTGCTAAAAGGTTTCCTGTGACGCATTTTGTCATTTAGGAGTGCATTCTAATATAGTGATGCTTACGTTGATACGACTACACCTGCACACGAATGAGAGGGAGATGCTTAAATTTTAAATTTATATTTAATTTTTCTTAAATATTTTTTAAAATATATTCTAGCCGAATTCATTTAGTTTACTTTTCCTTGTTTTTATGTCTGTTGTTATTAAATATCCCACATTGGGATCATAGAAAATCTGCAAAGAAATGCTATAAGCACTTAGCCGTAAATTTATTGTGGATGATCTAGCGATAAAACAAGTTTCTATGCATTTTTATCTTAGTAAATTGCCGTCTCTTTTAATTAAAGTAGCATATTTAAAATCAACATTATGATCAGATTCATTAAGTAAGCAACTAATGCATATAGTGTGTTTTTTTGCAAAAGATCCCTGCTGTGTTCATATAATATTTTGTTTAAATTCCTTGAGGTTTCTCCGATGTAATCTTTGCGGCAATTATTACAGGTGATAGACTAAATTCTCCCATCAAATTTTAGTTTATTATTTTATTTCATAATAATTAAGTTTTAATGATTTAGTAGTAGTTATAACACATTGTGGCAATATGGATAGAACAATATATTTTGATTTGTTGGGTTTGTTGGAAAAGTCCACTCTTCTGGGATATTGGAGGAAGTTAAAAGTATTTTCAATGTATTTCGCCTATTCATGTAAATAATGAGGGTTAGAAATTGTGAGTGCTCTTCAATTGAATCCGATGATTACTCCGGGTTTATTTTGCTGCTATGGTGAGAATAGAATTCAAGTGATCATTTTTATTAGTCGATTTGAGATGGACAATGATCTAAGAAAGGTAAATTATTCTTTGTTTCTGTTACAGTGAATTCTGTCTTATGTTCGACTTTGTTTAGTTTATCATCAAGGTCAGGTAAAGTAGTTTTGCAGGCATATATTAATAGAGTGCCATTAATATATCGGAAATATATTAATTGTTTAAGTAAAATATTTTGGAAAGGATCAGATTTAATAAATTCTAAGAAGTTGCATGTTAAAATACTGCATAGAGGCGAACCCATTGGTAATCCAAATTTTTGTTTATAAAAAATATTGATAACGGTGAAATAGCATTGATTGGTGATGAGACTGCAGATATTATTATTTTAACTTTTGGTAGGTATATAGGGGTTTATTCTTGATTGTGTTAGGTGTTTTTTTTTAAAAGATTTACGTATTTCCATAGATTTCCCTACAATTGTTCGTGATATATATATATATATATATATATATATATATATATATATATATATATATATATAATGATAGTGTTAAAAAAAACAGATTATTACACGCCTTACCATCGTTCGTCAGAGTAACATAAATCGATAGAATTAATTGTATATATATATATATATATATATATATATATATATATATATATAACGACTACTAAAAAAAGTTGCAAATTGAAAAAATAATGTTTTTTATGAAAGTATTTATTTATATTTGATATTTCAGATCGACCTCAATCACTTTTTAGTTGTTTTTCTATATATATATTAAGAAAGTATACGTGGGTTCTCATTATGCTATATATATATATATATATATATATATATATATATATATATATATATATATATATATATTTAAGGTCTGCTATATTTATGGGATAAAGTGCTCAATATCAGAAATAGGGCGTATGTAAATATAAAAGTGAACATTAAAGTCAACACGCAGAGGCGACAGGCTGTTTCATGCTAGACGCAATCGTCATGAGGCCTGACGATTGCGTCTAGCATGAAACAGCCTCATTCATAAGATGTGAATAAAATCAAGCTTTGGTCGCATCTTTTTTTTTTTTTTTCGAAACAGCTTTATTATCGTGTCCTTGTAATTTTTCTCATTACTCATTCCCGTTTCTTTATTGCTACAATTCCTTAACAATCCTCCAGAATTTGTTCTGACAAATACAAACGCTGCTGACAGATTAGCGCAATAATTATTCACTAGGAATTTTCTTTCTAAACAGATCTGCAGAAAAAGTTAGGAAAATTTAAGATTTCTTTCTTTTTCTCCCAAAATAGTTTTTCTTCTCTCTCATTTTCTCTCTCTTTCTTGAGTTCCCACCCCTTTCCCTAAATCCCTTTCTCTTTCCTTAACTCACTCTTTTTCTTTCACTCACATCTTTTCGTAACTTACTTTTTTCTTAACATTCTGTCTCTCTCTCTCCAACTGACTGTATTTCTCAAACTTTCTCTTTGCCTAACTCTTTCCAATCCTTCCTCATATTGACAATTCCCTCCTAAAAACAGATTAACAATTTGGTATAATTCTAAATTTGTAAAAAAAAAAAAGAAGAAAAAAACAACAAAAAACAAGCAAGCATAGAGTTATATATGCATATACAGTATCTATATATCGAAAATATTATCAGTAATTAATATATTTATTAGAAATCAGATATCGACCTATAGAGAACACAGATCAAAGATTTCTTGGCGGGATATTCAATTATCGACCTATACACGGGGGATAACGGATATTAATGATGTTTTAGCTAGAAATCAGATATTGACTAATGCCCGTGCCATATCATGGATTAATTATGTCTAAGTTACAATCTAATTGATTGATTGACTCGTTTTCTACAACTTATCAAACCCTTGCAGATTATTTAAAGACAGAAAAGTCTTTTAGATTTTAGGAAATTTTTAGTTTTACAAATCTTACTAATTAACCTGTAGCTGCGTGGAGAAGAGAGTATTCGCGCTTAAGTGAATACAACAAACTCAATGGCAATTGAAAATCGATTCTGCGACAAACAATTCCGAGCCATTATCGATTACACCACTCGCACGTCAATATTACATCATCTAGGTAATGACCAGGCTCGACGCTGCATAACTTCGTTGATCGTACGGGAACCAGTGTTTCAACGTGATATTGCCGTAAGTCCTCAAAATTTAACTTTCTACCAATGCAGCTGTGAATATATAACCTTTCAGAACATCAAATAACACAGCAGAGAAATCTGAAATGTCAATACCCATAGAGGATAATAGTCAAAATGATTCCTGGACTATGGCCAATCCCTTATCAAAATTGGTGAGCCACTTATGGTAGTTGGTTACGGAATCTGGTTATTTTACGGATATAAGAATTGTACATTATAAGGCTATGAAAAATAAATAAGAGTTGAACTTAGATTTGAAGAGAATTAAAATGATTAGTAAAGCATCCACTCGGAAGTTTGTTGCACGAAGTAGCGGTCTTTGGAAGAACCTGTCCTAATGGAACTTCCTCTTTATCAATGGAATACGAAGGGAATGAAGACTGTATTTATGGCATGATGTATCTTAGCTGACAAGGTCTAAACCGGTGGAACTAGTGAATGTAACACGTCACTACATTTTTTTATGTAAATAATGATAGAGTAATGATAGGCTTATGATTTTGCGGATATGGATAAGGGGTTACAAGGTGAAAATAATTAATCGTCTGCAAGGCCGCTTTTGAACTATTGTTGAAGCCGGAAACTGATAACAATAGAAAAAAATAAATAAAAATAAACAAATAAGAACAATGAGATCAAAATTTCACCATCTGTAAAATAGATGTATATTCAGAATCGTTTGGCCATAAAGTCATATTTCGACCAACAAATCATAAGCCGTCCTGACCAGAATACAAACAACCTGGTCTAGCGTGCGAATCAGAAAAAAAAACTGCAACCCATAAGGCCAACAATGATGTGCCAATGGAAATTAAAGCGGCTCTTTCGAAGTGGATCCCTATATATGCATATAACGAGATAGAAAATCAACAAAAACGAGAATCGATAAATAATTTTGTCTATTATCCGATGCTGCGGTCATCGTAACATATACAAAGCCAAAATACATTTGCACAACTAGCTGACGATTTAGACGGCTACAGTGTCTTGATACATCTGAAAACTTACACCTTTTCTTTCTCCGCGTTTTAAGCTGTCCGCTGTTAAATTTGAAAATATACATACCTTCCTTCACCCACAATGTTAAGCAGGTGGCTGCTACATTTGGATACACACACATTTACTTCCTTCCAGACTTCCTCTCTTTCTCTCCGCCTCCCTCCCTCTCTCTTCTCTCTCTCTCTCTCTCTCTCTCTCTCTCTCTCTCTCTCTCCTCTCTCATATGCGCCAGAACTTTTACACTTAAATACTTGAAACCTCAACTTTCACCTCATTCCTCTGCATTTATTATATTGCGTTATATAGAGATTTATGTTGTATTTTTAACACCTAAACCAAATATAGCGATATATGGTGGGAACGGACGTTGTTATAAGATAAGCTTTCACAAACCCGCCATATGGGTAAGTCCAGCCTAGATATGCCAGCTATACTTCATATTTGATCTGATCTTGTAAAGATAAAGAATGGCAGGTAAACTGTCTCTATTTTTATTTCATACCTCTGAAAGTGCCCACTTTGCCAAACGTATCCAGAAGGAAAACTGGATAAAGAGATCCGTGTCTTATAAATGCAGATGGAGACCAAAAGAGTTGATGGTTTCATTCTTTCTTCTTAAACTGAGCGAAATGAAGCGAAGGAACGAAACGAGGGTCAAGTGGTAAGACGAACTTAAAATCAAAATGAAGAATGGGTCAATTCTGAATACGGAGAGTACGGAATTATAAATTGATGAGAAGGGAAGAGATGAAAGGAAGACAATGAATGAGGGCAAAGAACGAAGAGAGAACTAAAAAGTTTATAGACAAACAGTGAACGGAAAAAGGCAGAACGAAGAAGAAAGATAAAAAGAAAATAAAAAGAGAACGGGGTAAAGCAGAAAAACGGGAGAAAGAAAGAAAGAAAGAAAGAAAGAAAGGTAAGGAAAATGAAAGAAACAATTAAAAAAACGCCAAAAGAAAAAAGAAAAAAAAAAAAACAAGAAAGAAGAGTAAAATGTTGAATAAAAATGTAAAAAAAAAAAGAGAAAGAACTACTATTGAAAAGGAAGGGGGAAAATGAAGAAACATCCCTAAACACAGTCACAACCGTAACGTACTGACGAATACTCAGGTAAACACAAAGACTAAAAAAAATTACACCCCCACCACTATACCTACTCAAATAAAGAAATAAGTATTTAAAAAGCCGGGCCGCTTTCAAAATCTTTAATCAGCAGATACCTCTTCGGCCAGTGGTCACATTATTAATGGTCGAAGGGTCATCTTTCAAAAAAAAAAAAAATGGAAAAAGAAAAAAGGAGAACATTGTGAGGGAAAAAAGTTAGACAAAAAAAATGGATTGATTAACAATAAGGGGAAGAAGCTCCCAAGTGATGTCAAACAAGCGAATAAAATTGCACCGATGAGATTTGTAAGTGTGTTGAGGGCAAGATGAAAAGAAAGTCCAAGGAGCGGGAAGAAAATCAGGGTTAGGGACGAGGGTGAAGATTAGGTGGGGGGGAGAAATTAGGGTAATCAAAAGAAGGATGGGCAGGAACGAGGCTAGGAAAGAAGAGGCGAGGAAGGAGGTATTTCTAGTGACAAGAATATAGGAAGGGATGTGCAAATAAGATAAAATATGTATAAAGAAAAAAGGCAAAAAAAAAAACAATAGGAAAAAGGGACAAGGAAAAATGAAAGAAAAATGAAAAAAAAAAAATCAAAAAAGAGAAAACGGATTAGATTTTTTTTTTTAAAAAATGATGGAAAAATGGGGGGAATGAACAATTTAAAAAAAATGAAGAAAGAAAAGAAGAAAAAATGAAAAAAATATAAACATAGGCAAAAAAAGAATGTAAAAATGATGGAAAGAACACAAATAAAGAAATTTTTTTTAAAAATGATGGAATGAATGAAGTGAAAAATGAAAAAAAGAGGGTAAGAAATTAGGAATGAACACGTATTTAAAATACATCTTTATTTCAGATAGAAAGAAAAGTGGAAATAATTTGCAGAAATTAGTATATATAAACATCAGCATGCAAACATCAAACTATAACAGATAGATAGATAGATAGATAGAGAGAGAGAGAGAGAGAGAGAGATGAGTACAGACTGGGATGGATAGATAGATAGATAGATAGATAGATAGATGCGAACACACTGAGATAGATAGATAGATAGATAGATAGATACGAACAAATCGAGATAGACAGATACGAACATAGATAGATAGATAGATAGATAGATAGATAGATAGATAAGAGACTAAAACAATAGATTCCACAGACGCAACAAATAATCGGATTTTTAATCTTCTGGATAATTGCTAGAAGAATGAGATGGATTTTTCTTATAGAAGAATGGGACCTGATAATTCAGACAAGAGATTTTCTTTCAGCTAGATAGGGATAAAAGAATGGATGGAGAAGATGGATTTTCTGAACTTTGGGATCGACGAACCTAGGGAGATTCCAATTGTCTTCAATGATCGGCCATGAGAAGAATGAGATAGATAGATAGATAGATTCTGGGAGATAGATAGAGAAGAATGGACTTTTACTTTAGATAGAAACAGGAGCTTGATGGTTGATAAAACTTGAAGGTTCAATCCATAGATCATAGATAGATAGATAGATAGATAGATAGATAGATAGATACGAGAAGAATGAGATAGATAGATAGATAGATAGATAGATAGATAGATACGAGAAGAATGAGATAGATAGATAGATAGATAGATAGATAGATAGATACGAGAAGAATGAGATAGATAGATAGATAGATAGATAGATAGATACAAGAAGAATGAAAGATAGATAGATAGATAGATAGAAAGGGATGAAAAGAATGAGATAGAGATATGATAGATAGATAGATAGAAACAGAATGAAGAAGAGATAGATAGATAGATAGATAGAACAGACTGAGATAGAGAGATATGAGAAGAATGAGACTGAGATAGATAGATAGATAGATGAAGAATAGATATAGAGAAGAATGAGATGAGATAGATAGATAGATAGATAGATAGATAGATGCGAGAAGAATGGAGAAGAATGGATAGATAGATAGATAGATAGATAGATACGATATGAACAGACTGAGATAGATAGAGATATATGAACAGACTGAGATAGATAGATAGATAGATAGATAGATAGATAGATAGATAGATAGATAGATAGATGTGAGCAGGGTGAGATAGATTCGATGGGTAGATATGAAGGAATTAGTAGATAGATAGATAGATAGATGTTAAATTTGCAAGAGACAGATCTTCTGTAATCCGATAGATAAGAACAAGAAAGAGGCAAACAAAACTTCAAAGAAAGGTCGAAAAACGAACCAATTCAAAAGTTTATAATGCAAACTACAAAGTCGAGGGCAATCGACCGAATATTTTTAGAATAACACTTTATCTCCGAAGTAGAAAACATCAGTAAAAAAACTGGAGATTACTCTGTCTAAAATGTCGTTATCTCGCCGCTTCCTTTTGCTTAGGACAAGGCTATTAAATGAATATCTGGACTACCTCCTACTAAAAGGACAGTCACTATGACAACATCGCCGAGATCATCTGACATTCGTGATATAACTGGTGCCACCCGTCGCTAATATCTGCTCGTTTTTTTTTTGGGGGGGGAGACAAAAAAAAAAAGAAATCCTCAAAAGTGAACAATTTTACTTCTTAGAGCATGTTGTCTGTTACTATACACAAGACACACACCACACATCCATATATATATGATATTCCTCGATACATATATATATATATATATATATATATATATATATATATATATATGCATGCATATATATATAGAGAGAGATAGATATAGATAGATAGATAGATAGATAGATAGATATTAGTGGTAAATATACACATACATATGCAAAATATATAGATATATATACATAGGTGCATACATATACATGTATATTTTTTGAATAAAAAATTCCGGGAGGATAGAATCCAGGTAGAACTCAATGTCCAGGACAGAGTAAGGATATAATAAAAAAGCTTAAACATTAATGTCACCACGAAATGTATCTTTAATGTATTAGACATCCGACAACATTCATATTTCCCCCTTCCACTCGCCTCTAGTGAGAAAAAAACCCTCTCTGTTAAGTGTTAGCCTCCCACCTTCTCCGTCTATTACCCCTCTAGTTAACACTAACATTCGTCCCACACTCTCATACTTACACTCACTCCAAATTCTATTTTTATTTCCGGAGTTGTTTTTTTCTGTTTTCTTTTTGAATTTGCAGGTCTGATGAATTGATCGTATTTACGATTCCAATGGAATAAATTATGACCATGGAATATTAATGTTTAAGCTTTTTATTATTTTATATATATATATATATATATATATATATATATATATATATTATATATTCCGCGGATTGAGGAATAGGAGAGCCAAGTTCGAATTCCAGTCGAATTCAATCCACTTACGTTCTAATACCCTTTGGAAAGGTATTAATCCTTTTCTTCTCTCTCCAACTATGGGTAACTAGCAGGACAGACTGGGTTCTATAGCCTTGTAGGGCAACTAGTCTAGGAGAAGGACAACTCTGAATTCAAAACCTGCAGAGGACCGTTTGGAGAACCATGTGACACATAGTACATCAGGTCCTTGTATTCGTCCCTTAAAAAATGTGAATGGTTCTGCACAAAGCCTTCAACACCATAATCAAATAATTGTTGAAACTTGAATAAAGCATGGAATAATAATAATACAACACAAAATGTACTTAAACAAAATATATTGACACAAGAACGTGTACACAATATTTACGTGTTCAATTTTTACACACACACACATATATATATATATATATATATATATATATATATATATATATATATATATACCGAAAAGTGTGTTAGTCATCCAGCGGACTCACACGGCATTTACACAGCCAGCATCTCGAAAGGCAAATTGCAGCAAGACGACTGGCATGTTAGCAATGTGGCAACAACCGCAAAACTCTTGCAGGTCTTAAAAAGCCATATGAGATGCCATCAGCGACGAAGTGACGATAGAATGTGTAAAAAATATTAAGAAAGTTTCAGTGCATGAGACACACACACACACACACATATATACCACATATATATATATATATATATATATATATATATATATATATATATCCCGAGAGCCACGACGACTATCCCCAAACTCATCCACCATGGATTATGTGATCGAGCGGTGCTATATCGGGTCTAATTCGTTACATCTTCGTCACCGAGGCCCATTCGTATGACGTTTGCCTCATATCGTAACTGTCAGGGTTTCAATTCTCGGCAGTGGATGTGCACTACTGATGAGTCCCAGTTATAGGACGAAACGTCCGGTGCATTCTGCATTGGTTTCTTCTAGACACGATATATACTTAATTTAATAATTATATAATTATTATATATATATATATTTATATTACTTAATTATATATATATATTATATATATTATATTACTTAATTATATATATATATATATATATATATATATATATATATATATATATATATATATATATATATATATATATATATAATTAAGTAATTGATCGATATGATATATAAACGAAGAGATTCACCACCGAGAATTGAAACCCGGACAGTTACGATATGAGTCAAACGTCATACCAATTTTACCGATGGGCCTCGGTGATGTAACGAATTTGACCCGATATAGCACCTGTCCTTTGGTACAGTTGGTATGACGTTTGCCTCATATCGTAACTGTCCGAGTTTCAATTCTCGGTAGTGGATGCGCACTGCTGATGAGTCCAGGCCAATGTTTTCTGCATTCTGTCGAGGTTTATTCTGGACTCAATGAATTATTCAGTTATGCTTATCTCAAATCCTCCAAATAATTTCTCTCTCGCACACACACACACACACATATATATATTAAAGGTGTGGAAAGTTTTCAACATCCGCTTTTTAAAAAACAGAAGGAAGTAGGCGTTTCATCTTTGTCTCAATGTTTAAGTTAGATTATTTTTTGCTGACCAGTATCCTCATCTTGTTTGATATCGTCACAATATTTTGACTGTTGTATCCTCTAGCTTTCTTCAGAGGTTTGTTATATATGGTATCCTCTCGGGAATGTCGAATTGATCCCTTTATTCAGTCGACGAGAATATTCTCATTTTCTTTCAAAGAAAGAAAGAAAGCTTACAATGACAGCTATGGCCTAGTGGATAAGAACGTTGGTTACCTGAATCGCGTTGGTGGCTGTGTTTCAGTGGAAACTCGTCCCTTATGTGGGAGGGGATGGTACTGTTTTAATATTTTATTCAATGAGAGGTCACTCGTTAGCAAAACGTCTCTCTCCAAACAGAATACTCCCGCTTTCGTTCGTGGCAAAATATCTTTTATTCTTAAAAAAAAATGCAAAATTTCTTTTTCTCTTAATTAATCTCCCATAAAATAATAAAAGACAAAACAATTAAGTATTAACTAAAAAAAAAAGAAAACGAAGAAAAGATAGAAGCCTGGTTTCCATACCAAAAAGAAAAAAAATCTGCCATTTTTTTCTATTCCAGTTTTCAAAAAAAAAAAAAAAACTAATAGCACACACACACTTTTAGAAGCAACACGGTGTCGTAATCGACTCATCTACTTAGCTTGACAAAATCTGGCTTTCGTTTATTTTTAATATCGTCTGCTTCTTAAACTTCTTTTTTTACCACTCAAAAATGTTTGTCATAGCAATTAATCATGCTCTTGTCCTTTTTCTAAATACCATTTTATAAAAAAAAAAACTCAAGTTAACGATCCTCTCTCTATTTTTGTTACTTTTTAATTGTATTCTTGAAAAAATATTTTTAAAGTATGACATTTTTTGTAAAAAGAAAAAAATATGTAATTTTTATGACTGAATGTCACTCTACGATAACATCTTATACCCTTGTTCAATGTAACACACAAGCAATATGACAAGAACAAAAAAGTACATAGAATTAACTGATACAAGATATCCTCTAACATTGACAGCGCAATAAGAACTATCTCCCCCAATGGATCGAATAAAATGTCCTGATTCTTGAGGTGGGGGTTACAAACTACAACAGTATCCTGAAAACTCCCGAAATGTCAATCTGTTGAGGATTTATGGGATGTGTTGGAACTTCCAATACGTGACCTGCTGCTAACATCCTGACTGCATATACAGGGGAAATCGTTCGAGTTCTGGGAGACTTCATTCCTAGTTGAGCAAGAACTGTTTTGCGAGCACATGAAAAATCAGCACCTTATTAGGCACGTGGTAATGATCTTTTGGTTTATCTGCGGTAGTCACGATTCCATCCTTTTACAAGTGATTTCTAACATTAAATTTTGCACTTCTAGATTTTCGCAACTGTACTATATAGAGGGTCTCAAGAATTTGAAGTTTTTGTTTATTATTTTCATGGTGTGGTATATTGGTGTTGTCAACAAGAATTTTCCTGTATTGGGAAGGCGGACAGGAATGTGTTTTTAGATGTTGTGAAATAGAATTTTATCCGACACACACATACACACACACACGCACACACACATATACCAAACATATATATATATATATATATATATATATATATATTAACATTTCACCCCCAAGCAAGGCGGGAAGCCACTAGGATGCAAGGGGTTACAGAAAATTTAGAGCAAGATCAGATAGGGTGATAGAAGAAAGGATGAGGGTAGTGGATAGATCAAGGCAACTGGAGATGTCGAGAGACATTACACTTGAATAGCTGGAGATTATAGCTCACAGGGAAACAGGAAAAGGGAAGGGAGTTCCACAGGGAGAGGTGCGAGACATGAAGCTATTAGAATAGAAGAGACGGCTATATTTAGGAGTTTCGACAGTGAAGGGGGTGAGCAGTGGGGATGCCAGCCTCGTGAGGCGCTGGAACTCGTGACGTCTGGGAACCAGCGAATGCAGCTCCTCGGAGCAATTTCCATGGAAGTATTTGTAGAACAGACAGAGGGAGGCGACGGCGCGTCTGTGAGAAAGTGACTGTAGACGAGACGCCAGGGCAGGGCCAACCATATTGCATATCCGCCTCTGGAGCCTATTAAGAACCCCTATTGGTCAGGCAAAATGTGAAATTGACAAGAAAGAGATGATTTCATTCTTTTTTTACCCTAAAGTTCACTGAATACAAAGTTCAAGAGCCACTCAATCTAGAGGATTATTGAATGGCATTAATAAGAGGATGAAATAAGAAATGAAAATTATGAGGATAAGTAGAATAGATAACGATTGATCATTGACATAAAGAAGTTAATATCGTAGTGTTCGGGAAGTATCCACGCAGGAGTCTGTTCCTCAAAGATAGGTTCTTTTGAAAAATCTAAGTGGAACTTCTTCTTTACAACTAGAATGCGGAAGGAATAGAGTTTGTTTGTTTTGCAGCATGGAGGGTCTTCTCTGTAAAGGACTATACTGGAGGTCGTCTGAATATTTGCTATGGGAATAGAGATAGATTGGTGTCTGCGAGAAAGGGATTATAGAATGGAAAATAAGTCACGCCACAACGCCATGTAAACCAGTGCTACTCAAAGTGGGGTCCGTG